TTTTTGGAAAAAGGGAGCTAGAGTCAGATTTCCAACTGCAAATTACCAAAATTCAGTATCAGCTCAGATACTAACATTACTCTTCCAGCACGCTTTTATAACTAATTATTACAAAGGTTATTTGAGTTGATTTTGAATAAAGGTGATTCCTTCATGTTTATATCCACCTTAGTCCTCCATGTAAAACTGCCCAATTTTCTATCTATAACTTCACAGTGGAATCTTATTTTAAATCTTATTTATATAATCGTATTATATAATCTTATTTTAAACTCCTGAAGACACGATTCTGAGCAATAAACACAACACATGGACTGAAAGAGAAAGCATTGTTGACGGATGATTTTTTCTGAATATCTGAGGGAATAATAATTTCCCCTCACATTCAAATAGATTCTGTTTCTTTAATGAAAATTAACAGAACAAGAACAGTATCTTAAATAAGGATGAGGAAAACATCTGATACAACAGATATTAAAGTATCTTTTGAAAATGCATTTTTCTTAGCAGTCACAAAACAGTGATGTTTGTCTCTATCTTGAATACCTTCCGCCTTACTTTCTTAACCACACAAACATGAAAGCAGTCATGTCCAGGACAAAGCTGTTTTGAAAACTGCAAGAGAAGTAATTTCCAGTTTACTTTTCAATACAGCAGTGGTATCTCACATATAAAGAATGCGATACTTCCTAAGATTTCAAAGTTTTTGAATTTCATCTTACTTTCTATTCTTTATTTAATGACCAATTTGTTTTGAGACTGATTCAGGATATGCAACAAGATCTCAGCAGATTCAGAGAGTGATGGGTAGCTACCGCTGCATTCTAATACAGTGGACAACTGGTCATACAGTGGACAACTGGTCATACAGTGTCTTTATGTGCATTTATGTCAAGCATTTACATAAATCTTTCCCTTATGGATTTAATCACTGTAAAATCTCCATCTGTGAGCACTGTATAGGTATATATGTTCAAGAGAAGCATTTATGGATTGGCTTCCATCCACTCGCCCTCATTTACTAACACGAAAGCTATATTCCTATGCTATTCCTATACGTGTTATGGTGGAAAAACAGATAAAAGAAACAGTTTCTACATAGACAAGTCCTTTACATGAGTAACTCTAAGGAGCTGGGGTTTTTTGTTGTGTTTGTCATACATTTTGTAACCCAGTAAAAATCGATTATATGCTGAAAAGCTGGTTGGGTTTTTTTTGTTTTGGTATGGCTTTGGGGGGTGTTAATTTTCTCCTAAGAAACAACTTCATGGAGAAGACTCTGAAGGTCGTGCTTCACTGCAGTTGTGCCAGCACAGGTAATGGCATCATGAGGAGTACAGATCAGGTCCAGGTTCCTCAGGCTTTGATTCATCATGTGAACCATGATGAAGATTAGATCAAACTGCAGTCTGGATCCTGGACTCTGACAGAGCAGTATCCTTGGAGAGGGTGTGAAATACAGGAGAAGCCACAAAAGAGAGCTCTGAAAGCTCATTAAGTCTGGTTTTCACATGACAGCCACCTGATTTTAGACTCCAACAAGAAAGCTCTTTTGCTTTAAGAGCATACACTTACAGTATATTTCTGAACACCACTACCTCAAAAATAAAAACTATTTACAATTTAGGTTTGTCTTGTTTCTCTCATAACATGAATACAAAGCAAATACTAGGATAAAAGGATTACTGCGTACATAAACTGCTGTCCTTTCTCTCTCAGACATTTTACTTGAAAATAGCTATGCTAAAGCACTAATGTCCAAGTGCCTGCGCTCATAGCTTTTCTTGGAAAACATCAGGACTTTGAACTCCTTCAATGTGAAATTACAAAACACCTACTAGATTAAATGGAAGTTGTATAATCAGCCTGAAAGACATTTAAAGTTACATATTTCAGAATGTTTTTTTCTGAAGCACATAAACCCTACTTTAAATTTTAGAACAGCTTCCTGAACTACTTCGTTACTCATTTCCAAGCTGAAACATTCCTCTGCTCCCCAGTGGGAGCAGATGCCCAATGGATGTGTAGTTTGACTCTTTACTAAAATTCTGTACCCTTTGGAAGAAAATATTAATTTCAGATGCATGTGTCTTAATAGAGCACTAAAATAACATTCTTCTGTTCAGACTATTGGCACTTTTAGATAATTGCTTTTGCATGTATTTTCAAAATGGCAGCACTTCGCAGTTAGGCTGTTAGGTTTCAAACACTTCCTAGTTTTTCATACAAGATAATGCATACCTGAAAGATAGTCACTTAATTTCTTGGCTTGAAAGAAAATCTCTGTAAAATTAGTGAACAAAGGGGAAATGTAAAGTGGATCAACCAGTTTTCTGGGTAGGCAGCAATACTCCCTACATTACTGATAAAATTATGCTCTTCAGGCTAGTATAAAAGTTGTCTTATTTGCTTTTCCAGTTTATACTTGACACATACAGAAAAACTATGCTTCTACTTCTAGTGGAAGAATTGTAATTAAAAGCAGTGATAAGCCATCTGACCGCTAGATATACAACAAGAACAAAAACCCACTCCATTGCAAAAGGACTTCAGACAAATTAAATTCTCCAGCAGATTTTGAGAGATGTTTATTAGTAGTTACTGGACTGGAACTGAAGTCTAACAAAAACACCAAAAATCCATATCATTTTATCCATAGACATCTACTCAGATCTTTAAGCATGGTCTAACACATAAATTACTATAGCCACTATGCTGATAACAAGATAACATTTGAACTCGGACAAATGCCAGGTTATAGTCTGGTGAAAATAATTTTATTTCAGATTCAACCCTTCTGAGTGTCAGCCTCACAACCGACAGGCACACTTTTCCTCTTCTTCTTCTCCCCCGTCACTCACAAGCAGTTAAACTCTGGTGATTCCCTGCCTCCTCCACAGGATTGAAGCCCTTTTAACGTCTACAGCTTCAATTGCAAAAAAAGTTTATTTAAAAGAAAAGTTTCTAAACTGCCTATATTAAAGATATCTACATTTCATCTCCTTTAAAATCATCATCTTTAAAATTTTAGATTAAATTCAAATTTGAAGTACGTAGCAAAACTTAATGGAAAGATCTTGAATCTGATTTCTATAAACCTAGCATCAGGAGAGGTGACAAAATCAAAAACCAAGTGAAGCATCCTTAAAATAAATGTATTAAAATGCATGCTATAAATTTGTCATTATTAGAAAAATATATATTTAAAGTTCTAGTCAGTTCTGGTAAACCCAAGTTAAAAACTAAAAAAAAACCAGAAGGGACCCATAAAAGCAGTAACATAACTAGCCGCCTGGAACAATGACCACACTGGGAAATCTTGAAAGAACTGGAATTGGCTTTAAATTAAGAAAGGAAACTAAAGGATATAATGGCAGGAATATGTAAAATAATGACTGGCACAGAGATATTTTTCCTAATGCCTTGCTTCCTCTCATACCACAAAAAAAAGGTAGCACTGGCCAATGAAATGGGAAGAAATATAAAATTAAATATATAATGTGTAATTAGCTTGTAGACTGCAAGAGACCATTGTACTCAAGACTGCAAAAAACATTATATGCTTATGTAGGAGGTAACAAGAACACCAACAGCTTCACTGTGAAGTATTAAAGTGTACATGGAATACAATCAACCTTTCAAATTTCACACCAGACCAACTAAGATGGTCTAGGAAAAACAATCCTATGGACTGGATGTTCCTTAATAACCCACTGCATGACTTTTTTGTGGGGTTGGTTTTTGTTTTTTTAAGTAATCTTAATCTGCTATGTCTACTGCTGATTGCTTTTAGGCGCATGTCAGATTAAATGGACCATTTCCATTCCTAGCCTTCAATCAAAATTCTTCAAAATGCGGAATTTTTCGCTTATTCTTAATCACGATTGCCACTGGGATTCTTTCATCACGTGTATTTTATTTATCCTCTGTGCAGGCTTTAAAACAGAAATTTTATTCTTAGCTCCGGTAAATGAAAAAAATTAACGTTCAGAACATTCCATTCTTCCCACAATTAAATTATGAAAATGGAACTAAAATATAACTCTCGGATCATGTGTCATTGCAGCGCTACTTCATTACTTAAAGAATGAGATTTCAATAGTTTAGTGATCATTTCCATGCTGAAATCCCTGAACGGTCTGAAAACTTGGACAGCCTTTTGTCAACCTCCTATCATTACATTAAAATCTCGAACTCTTTACAGACACTGCACAATCTCCCTTCATCTCCTTTTTATGTATTTGAAAGAAACATTTTTGGTACAAAACAGTAGTCCTGTCAAGAGTTCCAACCATAATTTCATAGTGAAATAAGAAGTCCTCCAAACAAATTTTTAAACTATGTGATTTCAACAACAAATGTTAGAAATGTACTTAAAAACCATTGTGCCAAGTTTTGAAGCTCTTTAAAAATGGACAGTTGTGTTCCTTTTTTAATTTTCTGTAACATCTGAATTTATTTTTAGGCTTTTAAGGGAAGCCTTATTTAAAATAAATTATGAAGGATCTTCCATGCAGAATCTAAAAGGATCTATAGAGCAGGTACAATGGAGAGTGTATACTTGTATACATACTGCTGATCTTCATGTACATTTATCCTGCAGCACAATGTTAAAATAAGTGATAACTGAAGAGATTTGGAAAAAAAATTACAAAATCAAAATTATAAAAATGTTGTCAATCACTTTCTAACAGTGACTAGTAATAGAGTAAAAGAAATTTCAAATCGCTAAACTTTAAGGTATTTTAAGTTCTCATATTTAGGAAATAAAAATATAAAATGTATTCTGTTTAATATACTTTGATTAAATGATTTTACAATATGTAAATAAATACAATATGGGCAGCCTTACTATTTCAATCAAAATGTTACTACTTATTCATAAAAAGGCCTCATGATTACACAATCCACAGTTGCTAAAAATTATGATGCCCAGTTAGATCACAAATACAAAAGCTAAACAAAAAAGCAAACAAAAAAAAAGGAGAATAAAGTCTTACCCATTCCTGAAATATAAAACATGTGCTCTTTGAAGGCCTGTTTCCAAGAAAAAACCAAGTTCTTGTTCATGTGCAGTGGGCCCTGGCTTAGGGCTTCTGTTTTGTATATTTGCATTAATTACCTAGGAGAACAAAAGAAAAAGGAAAAAAACATGTATGTAGGAAAAAATAAAAATCAATTTTGTGGACTTCCACACAGAAGCTAATACATAATGTCGGAGAAGTTTTTTTTCATTTGTAAGCAGTGGCTAGTAGAGTATTTCTATCCTTATCTCCATTCCCACCTAAACATAAATCATTTTGGTCTTGGCTATGCCCTTAACGATAATTTCTTCACCAAGCAGAAATGCCACTAAGAAAAATTTTATGATACTTTTTCAGAAATTTTTGTGAAGAATGGTATACAAAAGAGAAGTGTATGAAAATGCATTATTTGCAACCTTACTCAGTAGCAGGAGGTGATGGTATTCAAAATCTAAAACCCTGTTAGGTCAGGAAAGACTGCTGCAGAAAGCAGCAAGAAGATCAAAAGTGGTCTCCAGAGTACTTTCCAAAAAACAACTTAGAAATAACTTCGTTTGTGTTACATCAACATCAACAATTTGTATTACATCAACATTGAGAGAGCAAAAATGCTCTCTCAAAATGAAAAGCAATTAGCTTTCACTTGGCTTCATATTCACCGTGCATAGTCTACCAGCCACTAAAAGACAGTAACAAAATAAACAAACAAAAAACCCAAAGCAAAAACAACTAAAAAAATCAACAGTGTATGTATTAAAAAACAGTGTGAATTACTTTTCTCTCCCCCATCACATTGAAGTTTTCTTTTACCCTTTTCTTTTCCTTGTGTGACCCTAACTGTATCTAATAACCCCTTCAAAGACAACGGCCAAATGACAGGCCTGAGGCTTGTAAGCAATAGGTCTGAAAAAGAGGGTCAGATTGATATGGCTAGCTTGCTTCATTCTAATAGTATTCACAAGACAAAGAATAGAACCCCAAGTGTATTGTCTTTTGTCGAGACATATCTCGAAGTCGAAATAAAATACAGTAGTGTGTAAGTCCTAGAAATAAAGGGTACACAGATTTTCTTTTCTTTAAAAAGAAGCATTTATAACACTTGAAGGGTTTCTGCTAAGTGGTAAGAAATAGATTAATGGTGTAAATGAAAACAAGAGGAGGAAATAAAGAAGCCTATGTATCACTTTAAATTCAGATAAATCCTGAAGCTTTAAAATCATGAAGCATTACGCTCTTTACAAATAAAGAGCCTAACTTTAAATTTCCATAATCCATAACTTATAAATGGGGGAGGGGGAAGAAAACAGTAATTTGCCTAATATTTTGCAGAGTTGTTTGCAGGTTACATTTTGTCTAACGTGAAGAAACTTTCAGCAGTAAAAAACAGGTTTTCTACATACCTAGTACCTCAGATTTTTGGCTATCTTTCTATTCATACGTAGTATGAAAAGTAGACCAAGTCTGGAGTCCAGATTCAGATGTAGACAACTGTCTCTTTAGGAAAAATATCCAAGTACTTTTAACAGTAACTGTAGTTTCATACATACAAATGAGTAATATATTAATGAGATAAAATGACAAATGGACTATCAAGTCCTAGAACACTGTCCTGATCCAATTTATAGAACTATTAAGATTTATCTCAAGTTCACCTATGTTTTAAAATCATATGTTTATCTGTCTATCATATTTGGTGATTTTTTTCATTGTCCCAAGATTGTGCCTATTAGTTGATGCAAACACTCTTTAAATCTTTCATTTACTATTCTGGACACCCCACTGATACGTAAAGCATCTTGTTGACAGGTACAATGTTATTTCAGAATTTTACTTTTGAGTAGTTTATAAAGAAGGTTTAAGAGCAGTGAAGTTTTTGGCTACAAATAAACATCAACAAGATCAATTTTCAATCTTCATAGCTTTGTTTTGAAATTAATTCTTTTCAAGAATTATTGAAAAGCTAGTAAGTATATACACACAATGTACATATTCCTACATGTGTGTTTGAAAGACACCGTAATCCCATGTTCATAAATGAACTACCATAGGATAACAGAGGCCACAGATCAGCATCTTAAATATACATAATAGTTCAGAGGAGCTCTATCCCTTTTTAGAGGTCATAATGAGAGAACAGTCAGAAGGACAGCTACCAGACATCCATTAAGTCACACTATTGCCCAATTGTAAGCATGCACTGAAGTCCTGAGAAAACACGTATTAGAGTTACCAAAATGCTGGTAACACCACATGAAAGATGAGCCATGCAATTCTTCAATTAAGCAAATCATCCTAGCTTACCCTTTCTGTCTCCTGAAGGTACAGAAGAGCAATATCCCCAGCCTTCTCATAGCATGTAACAATTTCTTGTTCACGGTCCACATGGAGGTTGCTAGCCGAAGAAGAAATTGGCAACTTCTCAAGACAGAGACCTGAAAAAAATTGTAAAATCAAATGAAGCATTAAAAACTAATGTCATATAATACTATACCTCAAATAGTTCAGGCTAAGCCCCTTTGATCAGGAGAAGAAACAAAGAAAAAAAAAACCTACCAAATATTTATGAAGACATGGTCCTCTCATACTGACACTAGTAAGTATGTAAGTAAGAGTGACTCCTCCTTAATAATTATAAAACCAATAACAGCAATTGTTTTAAAGCAATTTTGATTTAAAAGACATTAGGACAGTCTACCACAAAAGTGCCTAGTGTCTTTCTTTACCAGTTTTAAATTACTGAATACATCTTCACTTTTCCAGAGTGATCACAGAAACCAAGACAGGGTGTAAAAAGGCTCTCAAGGCAATATGAAATTTAGTAACCGCACAAGAAAGTGCAGAAGCACCTATAAAAACAAATATATTTTCAAAAAAATAAGGGTTTAGGAACTGTAATTTTGGTATTTAAATTTAGTAAGAGGTAGCTTGCTCTCATCAAGGTACAGAAGTCTTTTCCTTTCAGGACCTTATTAAACTTACCCAACTAATACATTATCTGGCACTTAGAAGGGGGGAAAAAAAAAAAAAGCATTTGCTTGTCTAAAATAAAAACCCAACAACTCTTACTAATCAATGCTATCCTCTACACAAGCCACTTCTATTACAGTTATTTTCAAGATAATCTGAGAAAACAGCTGGAAAGGACCTCGAGAACACTAATCCCTCTATCTGACCGAGGAATCAACCAACCCCAGACACCTGTCTAACCTCTTCTTAAAAGCTTCTGACAATAGGGATGCCTCAGCCTTCCAATGCAAATTATTATAGCGCTCAATTATTCTCACAGTTAGTATGTTTTCCTAACATCTACATCTCCCTCCCTAGATTAATTACTCCTAGTTGTTTTCACAGAGAGATTATTCCTTTTTTTACAAAACATTTTTTCAATGTTTATCTAGAGAGAGAGAGACATGCTTGCAACAAAGAATGTCAATTCCCACTCATTTCTCTTTTCATGCTTCCTTGACAGCTAATCATTTTTATCTCCTCTGGACACTCTCCAATCGGTTACCTCTGTCTTGACTCACTGTGCCAAAACTGGATACACGGCTCCACTTGAACCTCAATAGCACTGAGCAGAGAAGATGAAAGACTTCCTAGTTTTGATATAGGATACTTATGAAAAAAAAGACTCAAATCAGCAGAACTTTAGTGCCTTCCCTTACATATTAGTAAAATATTCTCTTCTGCTTATGATCTGCAACAGATCACCAGATCATATTCTGCAAGCCAACTGCCTCATCAGTTACCCCATCTTATATTTGCTTGAATTATTTGAAATGTAGCACTTTCCAGGTGTTCTTCAGAGATTTATTTCAGCTCGTTCTTCCAGCTTGTCAGCAGTCAATGCTGATCCTAAAGTGCCTTCAACTTCTCCCACATTAATATAATTCACCATTTAAATGACCGTATTCTCAATTCATCATCCAAGGTTCTGAGATTCCATTGCTGGAGAAACTAAAAACAACAAGAAAAAACATACCTATGTATTGGTTGGATGCCTGTAGAATGACAGGTAGTACAAAACTTCAGTTTGGACAACAGTTTATCAAAGGATTTCTGCCCATCAATATTGTAAGATGAGGACAGTATGTTTCATTGGAATTACAATAGTTTTCTTACTAAAACAACTTGGGAAGACACAGACATGGAATCGGAGTTTGTTTATGGATAAACTCAAATTATGCAATATTGTGGCCTCCAGGTTCTTCTAAAACATCTATTAAGTTTCAATATCTCCCTGTAGAAGTATAATTCTATTGGGGTTGTTCAGCCTGGAGAAGAGAAGGGTCTGAGGAGACCTTATTGCAGCCTTCCAATACTTAAAGGGGACCTATAAGAAAGATGTGGACAGACTTTTTAGCAGGGCCTGTTGTGACAGGACAAGGGGTAATGGTTTTAAACTAAAAGAGGGCAGATTTAGACTAGATAGAAGGGAGAAATTTTTTTATGATGATGGTGGTGAGACACCGGAACAGGTGAACTGAACCACCAGAAAAGTGGTAGATGCCCCATCCCTAGCAACATTCCAGGTCAGGTTGGTCAGGGCTCTGAGCAACCTGATCTAGTTGAAGATGTCCCTGCTCATTACAGGGGGGTTGGACTAGATGACCTTTAAAAGGTACCTTCCAACCCAAAGATTCTATGAATTCATCTGTATAAAAAAACAGCAAGCCATATTTCCAGCTTAAGAGGATGAATTAAGTCTCTATCAGAGTTTGCTGGCCACCTTTACCCTCCAATCTACCCTTTTACCAGTACAAACAACATATATCCTACAGCTCTATTTGCTAGCTATACACCCAGTTAAGACAAAATCCTGACTCCACTACTAACTGCTCTGCTAAAGACAAAATAAAATTCAATATACTTTTCAAAAACCTACACATTCCTAAAGAGCCCACACATGGAAGTAGTCTGTCTCATAAAAAACTGCCAAACCTGTATATAACAGACACTGGACTTTTCTAACATGTTATGGTTTCAACCTACCTTACCTCTAAAAATAAACCATATTTGAAAATAGTCTAGAGTAGCCTATGCTAATCTGCTTTCTTTCAATTTTTCAATCAAATAGCAAATATCTGAGAGGTTTTTTTGCTAATTGTAAGTCATAGACCCAAAAGCAGCAAGATTAAACTATAGAAAAAGCTCAGTTACCCTGATCCTGCAGTAGGCTTGAATTGACCCTCTGATAAGAATATTTAAATGTAAGGTTGATGCTGGATACAAAGTTTGCAGTGTCCTACACAAACGCCTTCAAACTCAGACTTAGAGTTGACCATAAAATATAATAAATGAGCTGCAATAAAAATGTCAAATGACTGAAAGCATGAGATAGTTGGTAAGTGGATCACTCTTCCTCACCCCTTCTCTCACATGACATGAACAGCCAGTGCCCCACAGTAATCCTCCACTACATGAAACATACTACTCAGCTGGCTATTTGTAGATTTGACTTGGATTTATTATTTTTATATTTTATGGCCACAACTATAATCATTTTCATTGAAAAACTCTCTGTAAGAACACTCTCTCATTTTAGCTGAGAATTTTCTTTAAAATATGAAAGCACCTCAGTGCTATGCCAGAAACTTTAAGTAATGCTGAAGGGAAAGACAAAAATCTAAGTGTCCTTTGATGACATATATAATACTGTTTCTTACCGTAACTTTAGTGTACAATTAGTATTCACTGTATTTTCCCTTGTATGTTTATTACAACCCAGGAAAGTACGTCTATTTTAAGCATACAATGCTTTGGAGCAGGAAGTTCATTTGGAGAACTATCCTGAAACGACCACTTAACAGGATGGTTTGGACACTTCATTTGGTTTGATGACACAAGGAATAATTACAATTCAATACTACATTAAACATGAAAAAAGATCAACTAGAAGAAAAATGTGGAATAAATTATTATTTCTGTAATAGGTTACTTGTTTAATTTTTTTCTTAAAACCAGATGAAATTTAAGGAATTATGTATTAAATTACATAAAAGTATTTTTAAATTCTAAATAGATATAAATATAACCACATAATATACCACCCATTTCTTCGTAAGAATAGTGTGAAATGATAAAAAATGAATTAAAATAAGGGATTATTATGTTAGGCCCTTGTAAAAAGAACAAGTGCTAACACAGAGAACTGAGAAACACATGAATTCAGCAGAATTTTGGGGTTTTTGACCATGGGGTGCTTTACATGGCACGGGGCCTCCTGGCAGCAGATGGAGTGCAACTGTCTCCAAGGGGAAAAAAGATTCTTGCTTACGAGCTGGCAGGCCTCATTGAGAGGGCTTTAAACTAGATTTGAAGAGGGAAGGGGATAAAACCAGACTCACTAGAGATGAGCCTAGGGGCGGCATGCCAGAGTTGGGAGTTAAATCGATAGCCCAGGTCAAGTGCATCTACACCAATGCACGCAGCATGGCCACCAAACAGGAGGAGCTGGAGGCCATTGTGCAGCGGGACAGCTATGATGTAGTTGCCATCACAGAAACATGGTGGGATGCTTCTCATGACTGGAGTGCTGCAATGGATGGCTATAAGCTCTTCTGAAGGGATAGGCAAGGAAGGAGAGGTGGTGAGGTGGCTTTGTATGTTAGGGAGTGTTTTGATTCTGAAGACCAAGTCGAGTGCTTATGGGTAAGGATGAGAGGGAAGGCGAATGAGGCAGATATCCTGCTGGGAGTCTGTTATAGACCACCTAACCAGGATGAAGAGGCAGATGAAACATTCTATAAGCAACTGGCAGAAGTCTTGCAATCGCTGGCCCTTGTTCTTTTAGGGGACTTCAATCTACCAGACATCTGCTGGAAGTATAACACGGCAGAGAGGAAACAGTCTAGGAGGTTCCTGGAGGATAACTCCCTGACATAGCTGGTGAGTGAGCCCACCAGGGGAGGTGCCTTGCTTGACCTGCTGTTTATGAACAGAGAAGGACTGGTGAGAGATGTGGTGGTTGGAGGCCATCTTGGGCTTAGCGACCATGATAGGATAGAATTCTCAGTTGTGAGCGAAGTAAGGACGGGGGTTGACAAAACTGCTACCATGGACTTCTGGAGGGC